GTGGCTGCCGGGAGAGCCTCGGTGGCGATGGAGAAACCGCAAGCCCTGCTAAATCATCGGAGGCGAGGTGGCCCGAAGCCGCTGCGGCCGCCGTCCAGCTCTGGACATGGTGCGGCTCCCTGGGGGCTGGGGGAATCGTGAAATCGTTCCTCTGAGCTGGTACTCGCTAATTTTGGAGATGCTTTTTTTTTTTGTAGCGCAGTAGGTGACAAGAGTTGGTACCCAGTGTTGGGTGCCTGTGTTGGTTGGGTTTCTCCAGTCCTGATGATTCCAAATCGCTGCTTTTTTCTGTCCTCCAGCACTTGGCTGACCTTCCCCAGAGACCCAAAGGCCCCATAGTTAAGGCATGGTTACTGTATTTCCTCTAAATTCCGAAGCACTTAAACTCTACAGTATGGAGAGTTATTATTATCGAATGTACAATGTATCTACTTCCCTTTTTACGTTCTGTCTCCTGGAATCCAAGAGCCATGCACCATGGTAACTTCACCATTGGCCACTTTTAGGGTGTAATTAGCAAACATCAGTTTTAAAAGGGAAGTTTTCAATGGTTTTTCATTAATTGAAAAACAATCCCATGGCCCCCAAGTTGGTTTGGTTTCAGTTAAATCTGAGCATCCCATCAGAGCGAAGGTTTCCTCTGTGAAGTCTGAAGGAAAAAGCAGAGCTCTGCTCTTTTTGGGAGAGGAGGCGGGCTGCAGTGCCGTTTAACATGGACATTCGGAGCGCTCGGCTGCACACAAAGTGGCAAAAGCGTAAGTGAAGTGGGTTTCTGGCAGCTTTACATTGGGGTAGTTTACAACCGTAAGGAATCACGGAGACGGGATTAATGAAGGTATGAACAGCTTCGGAAGTAGGCGTCTTCGGCCAAGACAGGAGGGGTGCCACCCGCAGCACAGAGCAGGGAACGGTTGCTCCCCGTTCCTTCTACTGCGAGAACGGGCATCGAGTGAGACGAGGTGGGGTGGGCTCAAAATAAAGGCCCTTGTCTTGTCATGCCACGTGATTAAGCTGAGGAACTCTGCCACTGACCATCACAAGAGCTGAATTTAAGAGTTAAGGTATTTCGATGGAAGGAGGCCCCAAACATGTATTTGAGGCTTTCTGGTGTCACTGCTGGTTGCTTCTTCTGAAACTGGCCGTTGGATGGGCGGGAAGTGAAGGTACAAGAGCTGATTCTTTGAAGACACAATAGAAACAAAACACAAAAAATGAGATCAGAATAAGAAAGGAGTTTCAGCATTTGTGCTTTTTTGCATATCCGCTGAGCCTTTTAATATCTGCGTGTGGCTGAACTGTGTCCAGATTAGCTGCTAAAGATCACCCCCCTCATTTCGAAGGGGGAACGTTAAATAACAAAGTTGGTTTTGGGGGGATGTTTTGTTAATATTATGAATTCTTCTTGCTTTGGTTAATTCAGCCCAAGGCTATACTTGCACTGAAGCCTGAGGCAGACTGATCTGTGGAGTTGGTCACCATTGCAGGAGACTTCCAGCTTGGGTCCAGGAAGGCTTCTCTCTAACCAAAAGGGATTTTGCTATTATTGCAAAAAGGAGAGAGATTCTTTTGAAAACCGTAGTTTTCCTTGACTCTGTCAGATATTCAGATGATCAGAGGGCTGGAGCACCTCTCCTATGACGAAAGGCTGCGAGAACTGGGCTTGTTCAGCCTGGAGAAGAGGAGGCTCCGAGGAGACCTCATTGCAGCTTTCCAGTACCTGAAGGGGCTACAAGGGGGCTGGGAGAGGACTTTTTACAGGAGCCTGTAGTGACAGGACAAGGGGAAATGGGTATAAATTGAAATCAGGGAGGTTTAGATTAGATATCAGGAAGAAATCCTTCACAGAGAGGGTGGTGAGGCACTGGGACAGGTTGCCCAGAGAAGCTGTGGATGCCCCATCCCTGGCTGTCTTCAAGGCCAGGCTGGATGTGGCTTTGAGCAACCTGGTCTAGTGGAAGGTGTCCCTGCCCATGGCAGGGAGGTTGGAACTAGATGATCTTTAAGGTCCCTTCCAACCCAAACCATTCTATGATTCTATGATTCTATGATTCAGATGGCAGTTTGGCAGTCTTGTCCTCTTGCCTGTTAGCCTCAATAAAATACAATGTGGAAAGAACAGAGAAAATACCTCAGGCTATAGAGAGCACCTTAATTCTGTATGAGGCTGCAAGATCATTTTCTCCTCTTTGTGGCACAGGCTGAAGATACAAAAATGGGACAAGCTTACCTTTTGCACCAGCTGGTCCATTTAGATGTTGCTGTAATTGCCACCGTGATGATTTCTGGTTTTCCCTTTCACTGCGGAAGCAGTTTGTGTGGGCAGTTTGTAAACAAGGAGACATAGGGCTAGAGGGCTGTTTTGTTTTCTTCCTTCCAAAAAAAATATGCTTTAAGGATGATTAAACCAGTAATGCAATAGTTGGTTCCAAGAAGAGCTTGGCTCTACCTTCCCTCTAACCTCCCACTATGGAATTGGAGACAGGAAAAGTATCTCTCCCTTTTCCTTCCCTTTTAAGACTGAACGAACCCCACTCTTCTGCTCTCTCCTCCTCTTCCAAACGCGCTCCATTCCCTATCCTCCCCCCACTCCCCCTTTTCAGTGATCTTGGTGGCCCTTGACTGGAACTGCCCCCGTATGGCCATATAACACACTGGGGGGGCTCGACGTTTCGCTCCGTGTCTTGGTGGTGCTTCTCCAAAGCCAGCTGTTACACGTGGCACGTCACTAGCGTGGCTGCTGGAAATGGACGTGGTGCTGCTTTGTTCTCCTTGTCATTACTGTAGGAGGGATCAGGTGATCCCTAAATCCAAACGCAGGATTTTCTGTCCCTTGTTTTCGGACTTGCACGTGAAAAGGCGACTTGGTGCTAACTGTGGGGTGGGCAGACTTTTGCCAGTAGCTCCTGGCGCATCGAAAGGTGTAAGAACGTCGGTAGCGATACGGGGATGAAAACGCAGAGGAGCAGTTGCAGGGAGCAACCTCAGCTTTTGGGAGAGACACGGAGGGACCCGCGCAACCGTTTCCCTAGTGCTCGGCATGCTTTCCCAGAACGGGAATGATCACTGGGGAGCAGCAGCCCGCCAGTGCCGTGCAGGTCGTTGTCAGGTTGTGTGGACGTGCAGCTGCCCTTCCTTCCCTTGGGCATCTTGGGTCAGGGCCGTATTCCACCCCACCAGAAAACAGCCACCTCTCGGGGCTTCCGGTGTGTATCACTGGCCCCGCAGCTGTTGTAAGGGGCTCGGACAACACAAGTGACCGTTTCAGGCCAAAGTAGGTCTTAACAAATTGTTAATAAAGGATAGCTCCCAGCCCTGCGTTACGGCCCTATCTGTTAATCCCTTCCTGTTGTTCCAGTAGAGGTGTGTCATGTCTCTGAACAGGCTGTTAAACAAAAAAAGGTGCTTCCTGCAACTGAAGAAACCGTATTCGCGCGGAGATGCTGGTAATGCAGGCGCTTGATTTGGCAAGATGAGGCAATCAACTGTTTGACATTCTTAGCGCGTGAAGCGTAGGTCAAGCATGCGTTGGTAGTGTAGAATGTTTCCCATGCAGGAAAATACAGATTAAAGAAAGCAATTTTTTTTAATTCTGGGGAAGCTTTGCTAGCAGGGAGGTTGAATTCAGAACAACGTAGTAGTACCGTATCGATCTCCATCCAGATGTGCTTGGCCCCGCGGGGGCATGGCCACCGCTGCCCGTTCCTGACCGCCTTGTCTTCTCTGCAGATGTCTCTCCGGTTGTGGCCGGCCTCATTGGTGCTACTGTCCTTGTGGTTTCTGTCTCGGTTACAGTTTTTGTGTGGACATGCTGTCACCAGCAAGCAGAAAAGAAGCACAAAACCCCACCATATAAATTCATTCACATGTTGAAAGGCATCAGTATCTATCCGGAGACCTTGAGTAACAAGAAGAAAATTAACCGAATCCGGAGAGACAAGAACGGCGCTCCTAAGGAGGCTGGAACGGGAAATCTCTTGGTGGATGCTGCTGAATCTGGTTTAATAGGCTCCGATAAGGCTCCAGATGGGCCAAATGCAGCCCCCCACGTCGACCAGCTCCCAATAAAGGTAGATTATGGAGATGAACTAAGTCCAGATCAAAGCCTCACTCCGGGAGGAAGTAAAACCTCCTCCCCATCTTCCCCAGGGGAGGACGTCATGTTGGGTGAACTGACTTTCTCAGTGGACTACAACTTCCCTAAAAAAGCGCTGGTAGTTACCATTCAGGAGGCTCATGGGCTGCCGGTGATGGATGAGCACACTCAGAGCTCTGACCCTTACATCAAGATGACAATTCTTCCAGATAAAAGGCATCGAGTGAAGACTCGTGTACTTCGCAAGACGCTGGACCCAGTCTTTGATGAAACCTTCACCTTCTATGGGATCCCCTACAGCCAGCTCCAGGATTTGGTGCTTCACTTCCTTGTCTTGAGCTTTGATCGCTTTTCTCGAGATGATGTTGTTGGAGAAGTCATGGTGCCCCTTGCGGGGGTGGATCCGAGCACTGGAAAGGTGCAGCTGACCAGGGAGATCCTCAAAAGGAACATACAAGTAAGTCCCTTCATGTACGGTGACGCACGACTCTGGCGTTGCGTTTGGTCCGTGAGCCTCTGTGCTCGGGTAAGCCGGAATACGGCAGATCCTGGGCCAGGAGACCCATTTTTCCGCGTAGCAGTACGTGTTGTCCATGTCGTGTGGCTGTGCTCCTGTGCTCTTTGGGTTCGTTCTCTGCCCTGTGCTTCTGGCATTTTGGTAAGGCCTCGTCGCTCTTCAGGCGTCGAAATGACGAGTGCGGTAACCGATGATGCCGGGGGCAAGGGCAAAGTCCCGTCTCCGAGTGGAAGTGCCGATGTCTTCACGGGCCACTCATCAATGCCCTCCTTGGCCGTATGGCGGCAGGGGGGAGCTGGAGGTGCTCTGGGTAAGTGTTACCGGGGTTCTGAGTAACAACACACGCCGCTCTGCGGAGACAAACCTCGCTGAGAGAGGAGAGTTGTCTGCTCTGGCCGTTTCAGACTCCTACACTTGTTCCCTAGTGATGAGCGCTCCGTGTAAGACAGTAAGGCTTACATCGGGGAAGAGGTCTCCTGTCCTCAGCCAATGCTCAGGTAGGAAGAGGGGGTGATACTAAAGAAATCTTTATTTTCTTCCTTATTTTTGCTGCCCATCTCCCAGGTCCAAGAGAAAATGGCGTTTGGGCTCACTTCCTGCCTTAGTGTGTTGGGAATTGCTGCCGGGGTCTATAACATAACGGGTTTGAACGGAAAGAGGGAGATGGAGATGGGCCATCAGGAAGGAATTCTTCCCGCAGAGGGTGGGGAGCACTGGGACAGGTTGCCCAGAGAAGCTGTGGATGCCCCATCCCTGGGAGTGTCCAAGGCCAGACTGGATGAGTCTTGGAGCAACCTGGGCTATGGAAGGTGTCCCTGCCCATGGCAGGGGGTGGGGCTGGGGGGGCTTTAAGGCCCCTTCCCACCCAAACCACTCTGTGATTCTATGGAAATACTTCATTACACCCTAGATTTGAAGTATTTTGCTTGAAAAGTTATTTCTACTATATGGGGCATTTAACTTTTTGTATTTTCTTTCTTTTAAAGTTAGAAGAGACCCAAAACATACCGAAACAATCCCAACAAAGCCCGAGTTTTGGTGGTTACTTTGCTTTTCTCGGGATGCTTTACACTGCAATGAGAGAAGTGACTCCTTTGGATTGTTAACAGTGTTCTTTCCAGGACACCGACCCTCTCTCTCAGAAGTAATGGATTAAAAATAGAGGGAAAAGGGCGTGCTAAATGAAAATAGATTTAATCAAGGATGCGCATTATTTAACATTTATTAATAATCAAAAGTAGGTGAAGTTTAGCGTCAGGTGTGCATTCTTGAAAACCTGCAAAGTTCCACAGTGTCAGAAGAGCCGTTAAACAGAGTTCTCGGTGCCAGGAAGTTTCACAAGGCGGAACAGAGTTGCATGAAAGCCCGGTAAAGCCCGGTAAATCAGTGTGCTGATCCAAGCCAGCAGAGGAACACATCCCACCTGCTGCACAGTCCCCAGGTTTCTGACAGTCCGACAGTGCAGATTACTTGGGAGGATCTGCGTGGAATTCCTTCAGACCAAAAGAACCCCCTGGCTCTAGCACACGCACAGTGCTCCCACTGGCCATTGCTCTCTGGTGTATCCAGGGAGTCCAAGTCCTCTTCTCTCAGCCTGGAGAAGAGGAGGCTCCGAGGAGACCTCATTGCAGCTTTCCAGTATCTGAAGGGGCTACAAGGGTGCTGGGAGAGGACTTTTTACAAGAGCCTGTAGTGATAGGACAAGGGGTAACGGGTACAAATTGAAATCAGGGAGGTTTAGATTAGATATCAGGAAGGAATTCTTCACAGAGAGGGTGGGGCGGCACTGGCACAGGTTGCCCAGAGAAGCTGTGGATGCCCCATCCCTGGATGTCTTCAAGGCCAGGCTGGATGAGGCTTTGAGCAACCTGATCTAGTGCAAGGTGTCCCTGCCCATGGCAGGGGGGTTGGAACTCGATCTTTAAGGTCCCTTCCAACCCAAACCATTCTGTGATTCTATGATTCTATTTTCCTTCTGGGGCCAGGAACTCGCTCATGCATTTACAGTCCCCCCAGAATTTTTTGTGAGCAGCAACAGGCTTCCTTCCTTGCATTTGGAAAACTTGTCTGAAACAGGGGAACTGCTCAGATGACAAGAAACCACCCAAATGCTAACGAACGCTGGCCGTGTGCAACTTTTCCCTGCGAAGCCGAGTAACAGCAGCTGAAAGAACAGCTTCACCCCCCGGGCGCTCACCAGGGCACGTAGCATGCGTGTACCGTGGTGCTTTACCGCTCCCAAGGGAGAAAACTCCTTCGCTGGGGGGCACCGAGGGGGGCAGGAGGGGGGGCAAGGCGCTACCGGTCCGGGCGTCCAGCCGACAGCGGTTGGAGTCGTTGCAGTAGCTCTGCTGCTGGTGCATTCCTGACACCGCGCGATCCCATACCCACTGCTGATTCGGTTTGCCTTGACAGCAGATAAACTTCATCTAAATTAGTGCCATCTCAATGAACGCTAACGAACGCCATCTGGATACCAAACCCAATTATCTTAGTATTATGTTACTCTCTGTACAGCAAGTTTAACCGGGTAGACCTGGTTTTATTTTCATCCTTTACCTCCGCAGACCAAACCGATGATGAAACCCCCAAAGCATACCCACAGAACTTGAGGTGTTTGGCCATCGAAGCTCCACAAAAGTCAATGAAACCAGCTCCTAAACCCCACAGATGCCCCAGGTAGCAAACCTCGAGAGACAGCCAGAGCCACTCTCCTCTCAGCGGGTGCCCCCCTGGGTTTGCCCTCAGGGAATCACAGCGTTCCGGGGAGAGGCTGTAGCGATGCTCACTGTGGGCAGCAGGCAGAGGGTGAACGGCACAGCAGGATTTATGCTCCTTCTCCCAGAGGCTCCATCTGCCTGAGGCACTTAAAATGGCCTGCATCTCATTTTCCAACTTTTTAGGCCTTTAGCACTGGGAAAGGAAATTCTGGTGACCTCACCTTACCTGTTAGACCATCTTGTCCTAATAAACTGTTTCTCTTTTACAGAAATGCATTAGCAGAGGGGAGCTGCAGGTCTCCCTGTCTTACCAGCCTGTGGCGCAGAGAATGACCGTCGTCGTGCTGAAAGCCAGACATTTGCCAAAGATGGATATCACTGGCCTCTCAGGTAGAAGCTATTTTCTCCAGCTCTGAATGTGTATCAAACCCCTCCCAGGTCACTTTCAGACCTTGTCGCCTGTCTGATCTGAGTATTTGCTTTGTTTGCACGCTTCTCCTCCAACTCTGAGGGTCGCTACGAGTGATCCATCGCTCGCCACCAGATGGTTGTACAAACAGGACCAAATCCTTCCTGTGGCGAGACCAGCCGTTGCATCTTTCTGGCATCAGCTGGATTGTTTACGAAGGCAGCATTTTCCAAATTGAGCCCATCTCCACGTTGCTCTTGGCCAGCCCCTGCGGGCCCTGTGCCCCCGTGCTGCTGTCGCTCATCACCGCCCTTAGCAGCACTTTTTCCACAGCACGACCGCTGCTTACTGCATCCTCAAACCCTGCTCCTAGAAGAGGGGGGTGGAGGAGAGTGAGCGTAAAAGAGAGGAGGGATAGATGCACCATAGAAAGGAATAAATTCAAAGGATGTTAGAATTAGGGTTTTATCATTGTTTTTAGTGGTTTTGCTGTTCTGCTGTTTCATAGAATCATGGGATGGTTT